ATAGTTTTAATGTAAAAACTAAACATATATATTCAGTTACTAGCAAAAATTGAAAAAAATAAATTTAATTTATTTTTAATAAGAAATATTTAACTAAACGCTTTAGCGCTTTGTAAGTTAACAACATAAAATTGAGTAAGTATTAAAAACCAATGAAAATTTCTTGAAAAACACGTAAATTTACCAAAAAAATGCCAATTTTGACTCATCATAAATTTGGCTTAAAATTTGCACAATGGAAAAATGTATAAAATTTAAATTTTGAATAGGAGATTTTAAAAAAAACCAACCAAAATTTATTTGGATTTTTTTTTTATTTCTATGTATAAAATTTTATTTGTGAAGATTGTATAAAAAATATTAAAAATATTGTGTTTTTTTACAAAAATACGTTAAATTTAATTAATTTTTATTTTTTCAGAACCCTTAAAAATTATCAATATTTTGTCATATTTTTATTCAAGTTAATAACCTGATTAAATTTGAAATAAATATTTTTTTAATTTTATTGGTACATATATTAGTCATGAGAATTAAATTACTTGATTTAGAAATATTAATTCTGATAAGAATTTTTTTTTAATTGCTTGAGAATGAATTAAGAACTTGTTTGAATTTGAAATACGAAAAAAATAAAGAAATGCTATGAAATTATTGGTACGTGTGTTAGTCATGAGAATTAAATTACTTGTTTTAGAAAAATTAATTTTGATAAAAAATTTTATTTAATTGCCCTTGAAATTTTTTTTACGACAGAAAAATACTTGACAAAAAATTTTTATAAAATGAATTTTGTTAAAAACATTATTAAAAAAATTAAAACTATATTCAAAATACAAAAACAAACTATCGATTTAACTTGGGAAGATTATATTCAAGAAAAACCAAATTGTTCGTCTAGTTCAATTGTCGATAATGAAGATTTATTTAAAACCCTCTTACCAACTATTGAACAAGAAAAACAATTTTCTATTTTGCATTTAAATTTTTATACAAAATATGAAGAATACCAAGAAGCAGTAAGAAACGAAGAACCAGAAATATATGAAGAACTAAAAAGCTGGTTTGGTTATTTTGAAGCCTATGTTCGTTCTTGGGCTAATATTCATGTAAAAGGAAGAGGATTTGAAAAAAATAAATTTGACCAAGAATTAAATGATAGAAGAATAGCTATATATGAAGAAGATTTTGAAGTTGCTGTGAATCTTTTTAATAAAAAATTTAAACAAAATTTTTATTTATTAGATTTAGATGATTTGTTCTTTTACGCAAAAGAATTTTTATTGTATTAAATTATTTACTTACTAGTATTATTAGTTTTAGTTTTTTTGTAAACATAGTTTTTTCTTGCTTGTATAAATTATTTTGTCTAAATAATAAAATAAAAAAATATTAATACGAGATTCCTATTCACCAGTGTTTGCAGCTCGTCTGTCTCAGAGATATAACTCTAATCTACGAATCGGTTTCTCGAAAAATAATAGAACATATCCTCATCATGTGAATGCATTCAGAATATATTCCTATTTTGCTATGGCAGCGTCCCTTCAGAATCACAAATATTAAGTAGAATGAAACGTCCAACTTACTTTTTTTTCTTTTTCTATTTAGACTTACATTCAACATCTAACTGATTGCTGTAATAAAAAAAAATAATTAATAAAACATATTTTTCACTCCATGGGTTGCGGCGTCTACACGTTCGCGTTCCTAGCAAAAATAAAATTTATTCTCGAGAAAATTTATAATCTCCTTCTCAGAATAAATTCCTGATGCATATAGAGCAGTGTGCACAAATACGATTATTAAATGAAATAATCACCTTCTTATCGGTCATTTCGAAATTATGTAGTTAAAAGTCTAACCGATATCAGTTTCTCGAAAAATACTGGAACATCCAATTTACAATCGATGTTGATTTAGAAAATCGATAATTAAATCGATATTCTTGTTAAATAATTCTTTAGCAACTTCAATTTCGAGTTGCGAACGAAGGAGTTGTATATTTAAACTGTTTAAGTAAAGTATATAATAGCCACCAGTAAAGATGACTATTATAAATAAAATAAATAAAAGAAATAAACAATTTTGATAAAACGAAATTGTATCTTCAAGTTTTTTAAATTTAAGAGTTGTGTCAACATATTCTTGAGTAATAGTTCGCTATAAAAAATGCAAACCATCCTCAGATTCAGAATTGTAGTTAGACATTTTTGGTTTGTTTTAAAAAAAAAAATAGAGAATTTTAATAGAAAGGTTTAGAAAACAATTTTATGAATGTACAAAAGGTTTATACGAATGAATCGTGAAGAGAGAGAAAGGTTTTTTGCTCATTTTTTATTGAATAAAAAATTTGCTAGAACTTTCTTCAATAGAATTACGTATGTAATATAAATTGTAATTTAAATTTAATATAATATTTTATTTTTAAAGTATTATTTATATGTTGTGGTTGACAAATATATAGTTATTTTATTTTTAAAGTAGAATTTATATGTTGTGATTGACAATATATACGTTATTTTATTTTTAAAGTATTATTTATATGGTGTGATTAACAAATATACAGTTATTTTAGAGTAGAATTATGTAGGCTACTTTATTTTTAGTTTAAGTATTTATATGGAGGATCGACAAACAACTTTTCATTTTTTATTGTCTGATTTGGAATGTCTGATTTAGAAATTCGTTGTAAATAATAAAATTACTATAACAGTAATTATATCGATTAGAAATTTAAACTTTAATTATATATCGGTAAAAATACAGATTAAGATTAATATAAAAAAATAGAATAGATTCTAAAATCGGAATTGTGATATGATTTTTGTTTACGTAATTTGATAATCTATAAAAAATTTGTTGTTGTTTTTTTTTTTTTCTTTGTTGTTTTCATTTCTCCTTTCTCACGTCTTGGTTTTGTTAAAAAGTTAGTATTTTTTTTGTTTTTTTTTATTACTAGTATCTAGATGATTAAGAATATACTAGTTAAAGTTAAGAACTTTTGTGTTCTCTCGTCTAAGTAACTGGGGCTTAGTCTATTGAACGCACGAATAGTAACTTTATGAGCGACCGGCTCGTTACTATTCGCCTTAAATGTGCACGCTCGGTTTTAAGTTCTTAACTGATGATAGAGTTTAATTTTTTGTTTTTCTTTTTTTGTTTGCAAACAAATTTAATAGCTATTATATTTTTTTTTTTTTTATTTTAGAGATGGAAAATACCATAGAACAAAATATCGACACAGTTATCTTTTCACTTCTTGAAATAAAGAAGAAAATAAAAGAAGCACCAAAAGAATCACCATGTTATGATTGTAATAAATTAAAAGAAAATTGTAAAAGTGCTTTTAAAAAATATAGCAAAGGTCTTTCTTTGGTAGAAAATATTGTTAAACTTCAAAAAGAAGTTGATGAAACAAATAGCGAATATTTCAAATTAAACAAAAAATATATAGCTTTAAAAGAAAAATACGAGCCGACCGATTAATTCTGTTTAAAAAATTGGGTTTTTTTTTTATTTATATTTTTTTATGAAAACATATATTATTTTTCTTTTATTTGTTTGTAAAATTTTATTTATATTAAAAAAATAAAAAATATGAATTTTAATTTAACGTTTAAATTATATCAATATTTAACAAATTTCAATATTACATTTGTGTAAATCAAAAAAATAACTGTTCTTAAATTTAATGTTTGCTAATTTTGCTTCGGGGTAAAATAATTCTAATAAAAATTCTTTGGTGGTTTCTTCAACGATATTGGCCTTATCGAGAACAAATTTATGCTGCTTAAGAAATTCTCGACGTTCTTTATCAAGAAGAGCATTTTGCTTATTGCTCAACTTGATTTGAATGTATTCGGTTATGTGTCTTTCATCATCAGGAAACATGATCGGTCTTCGAAAGTTTGTGTTTTCGTTCTCTCTGAACCATGTAAAATCTACACATTCTTTTTTTACTTTTTTATCAGCCGATTCTTGAGTTTCAAAATCAGAATTACTTGAAGATTGAGACATTTTAAATTACACAAAGAAAATCTAATCGGTTTTGAAAACTGATTAGATAAGTTCATTAGGTTTTGTCTCCGCAACGCTCTTTTTTTTTCAGCTGCTGCTAGCCTCGCAATTGCTTATGCATGGGTTGTGTTTATATTTAATGTAATGTATTTGATACGAATTTTTGATTGGGTCCCCAGCCCCCAATCGCCAATACGAATCGCATTTATTTATTTTTTTTTTGTATCAAATTTTAGTCGATTCAAAATATTATTTATTAAAAAAAAAAATAAAATAAAATACAAAAAATTATTTGAAATAATCTTTGATAGTATTTTTACATTCTGGTAAATTCAATTTAACATCTGGTTTTTTTGAACCTAAATATGCAAGTTTGTCTGCTTGTTCATTCCCGTAAATACCACTATGTCCTTTCACATGTTTTAAATAAGTTTTTTCTTCACGTTCTTTAATCAAATCATTAAATCTATTAACTAAATCAAAATTAGTTTTTGGTTTTTTAACATCTCTAGAGATGATAACATAATTGCTATCTGTATTTATGATTAAATTTTCTTTTTTATCACAAATTTCAAGAGCTCTAATCGCAGCATAGATTTCTGCACGATTGTTAGTTTGTTGTTCACCAGGTAATCGTTCCGAAAGATTTCTAGAATCGTTATTTCCAAAAAATACACCAATACTTCCAATAGCATCTGATAATCCATTTCTTTTACAATATCCATCTGTCCAAACATTTATTATGTCTTTAATTTCAATATTTTGTTGATCGATGAAATTCTGTGCCTCGATCTTTGTATAAAATGATTTATACAAAGCTCCAGGACATCCTTTTACATATTCTTCAGATTCTTTCTATGATAGAAAAATTCCGGTTTCTTTCCCTTTAGCAACTGCGTAATATTTCAACGAAGAAACTTTAGGCATCTGGAATTACAACATAAATAATTCAAGTAAATGAATCACAATTATGAATACCAGTCGACAAACAACCCATGCATGAAGTCGCCGAGTTAGCGGAAGTGAGAGTTAGTAAAGGTTATTACATAAAGTAAAGATTATTACAGGTTGCTAATCTCTCTTACCTTTGAAGAAGTAAGTTAAGATTGCGTGAAAAAAATTCTAATCGGTCCTGGACAGATTAGAAGGTTGTTTATTAAAAGAAATCATAATAAATGCGAAATACAGTAGTGTAAAACAGAAAAAAAGCTTTTGCAACTCGATCAAACATGAAGATAGGTTTGAACCGATCTCGATTTCAAAAACCATTTTAGTTTTTCAAGATGGAAACTGAGTAGGTTTATATTTGAAAAATAAATTATGGGATTCCAAGTTTTCGAATACCTTTACAAGTTTCAAGTTTGATCCGTTAATAAACTATTGGCATTCTTTTGAAATAAGGTATAAAAATAAATTGAGGACATAAAACTGAGTTTTAACAAAAAATGGAACACAGAATAACTGGCAGAGAGATTGTAATAGCTGAAAACTCAAGATTGCAAATAAGAATTTACGAATTGCAACAAACAATAAGAGGGTTAAATGCTGACAGAGACGAATTGATTCAAGAAAATACACGTTTAAGAAATAGAAATCAAGAACTTGAAACTGATAATAATCAGATTCATGCATCAAATGAGAATTTGACGCGATTAAATGATGCATTAAAAATTGTTTTGAGAGACACTGAAGATGAGCAAGACTATTATCGCACGGCAAATATCAAGGAATTTGAGGATTTTATCTCAAATTATATCTTTGGATTGTTTAGTAATTTTACATAGATTACAAGTAATCCATACGCGACCAATATTATAGAATTTTTAAATATTTATAATTTTTTTCAGATACCTATTGTATTTCATTATATTAAGATAATTTACAGAAAGTTTTTGTGGCCAATTTTTGTTATTCCATATGTAAATCTCACTGAGATGAAGAGAATTAGAGTTGTCGAAGTACTTTTTGTGAATGTTGTCACGGTTTCTTTCGGGCTTTATTTACTTTTTTTTGTATTTGCAAAGTTAGATCGAGACTTTATTATAATTATATTATAAATAACAATTATAATTTATTGACTATATTAAAATTTAAAAGCAATAAACTAATATAAATATAACTAAAAAATTACTGGATAGCCATTGCGATTCCCTGTTTTTTTATCATGTTCTAGTTTAAAATCTATTGCTTGTTGCTTTGCTTGTTTAGAAGTTTTATATTTTTTAACAGAAAAATATTTAAATTTCGTTTTGTTATTTTCACAATATTGAAATCTCCAACGATTGCCAGATTTATCGAAGTTAATACCATTATAACCGCTAGAATTGTTTTTAAACAATTTACGATTTAACATATTTTGTTGATAAGTTGTTTCTTGAAGATTGCATTCACGACTATCTAGACCATTACGATTCAAATGGTCTATCATCTTAAACTCTGGACGAATCAGTCGATGGAGTAATAATTTTTTTCTATTATTTTTTTTATTTGTCGAAATATAATATGTATTATAACTTTTGCTTTTAAAAGCATGCCAAGTATAGTTTTTCAAGAAGGGAAAATTCTCCTTGTCGAGAAGAAAAGTGATTTCAGGGTTTTGAGTTTTGACTTCCAAGTAAATTGTGAAATTGATCTTTATGAGGCGATATTCGTTTAGTTTAAGTTTCGATTTATCAGGATTCTTGTATTTCTCCCAATCCGTTAGGATTTCGAAATCTTTAAATTTTTCTGACCAGTTTGACATTAGTTAAGTATAAAGTTAATTTTGAGTTTGCTGTTTGTTGGTTTCTTTGGTTTTGGTTTGGTGTTTTTGGTTTCGATAGTGTTTGATATGTCCTTTAACTTTGCTTCGTATTGTTTTTTGTATTCGATTGCTCGATTTAGAATGGATTTGTCGTTGTAATTTCCAGTAAATCTACGTTTGTGATTTTGTTTATTTCGACGTGTATGATATACCCAAGCATTCATTGATTTGTCGTAGTATATGTGTTCAACACCTGAGGTGTTTGTGACTAACATTCTTTGAAATTAATTTTTGAAACGGAGCGGCTGATATTTATATAGATTTTGTTATGCGCAGCAAATTATTGTTAGCCAATAAAAATTAATTACCTATTCAGGAATATAATGAGAATCGTCGCTGAAAAGATTAAATATACCTTTTTGAGAATTAAATAATTAAATCTGCTGCGGCATGTGATTAAAATAGATTAAATTTCCTTTTTAGAAACAGTAATCAGATGATTTATGACTCATTGCTGCGGCTATTAAAAAAAAGTATAAAAGACAGAAGCGGCGGTAAATCAATTAAAAAAAATTTTTTAAAAAAATATTTAAAAAAAATAAAACTAACAAAAAAATATGTCTGGGAATTATAGGTTTTTTCATATTATGGCCACTGTTTACTACTGTATTCCGTGTTTAGAGAGGTTCAAGTGCAAGAAGAATGTTAGTGATAAGGAAAAACAGGAACGTGAAGAAGAATACGAACGAACCAAGACGGTTCCTTTATGTGAGAGATGTAAACAACGTCATTGGCGTTGCAAGCTCTCAACCTGTGACCTCTGTTGTATGTTAAATGAGTGTAATGATATAGAGTGCTCGGCTTGCAAGAAACTCAAGATCAAGTGTCAACGCGTCTTGCCAAAGACAAAGGAGGAGTATGCTGCGTTAGAGAAGAAAGGTTTGAGTTATAGTAAGGGTCAGTACGAACCTACAGATTTAGGGAAATTTCACGAACAAGCGTATTTCCAATTCGAAAAACGCCAAACTGTATCGAGTGTAAAGAAGATGTTCGGGCACAGGGCCATGAATTTTCCAAAGCGTCTAAACGGGGATTCGGATCAGAACCGTGATTATTCTGGAAAACCCTGGAACAGATGCAAGGATCCTAAGCATAAGAAGAGATGCCGTTGCGATTTCTTTGTTAGAGAAAAGATTTGTGACGTTTGCAACAAGGATTGCATCGCGAAGAGGACTCCTGCTCGTTGGAAAGCCGCTGAGCTAACGAGCGAGGAGAATGGCCCTTGGGCCTTTGAAAATTATCGCTACCTTGCTGCCGCTGGCGAATTCGCAAACAAAGATGAAATTAATGAGAAACGATTAGAGGATATTAAAAGAATTGAACATATTGTTGATAATAATTTGATAGTTGAAGATGTTTTAAAGAACAAGAAAGAATTACTACCAAGAAGTTGGCTCAGAAGCTTAAAAGATTTGGAACACTTAATTAAGAAAGAAAAAGAGTTGAGAGAAGTAAATATTAAGAGATTCTGGAGACCTTGCTGTATTTATTTGTTTGGACCAGGTGGATCCGGTAAAAGCGGTTTAGTACAAAAACTGTTTAGAGAAGAGCTTTATTCAAAACCTCAGAAACAAAAAAGTGGATCAAATTGGTGGGACGATTATTCTGGACATGAGTTAGTTTTTTTCGATGAATGGTATACGTGTTTAGGATGGAACGATATCGTTAAATTATTAAACGATACGCCCGAACAAGTTGAGATTAAGCATAAAGGCTTTGTTCCTTTTCTAGCAAAATACGTTTTTATGACGTCTAGGAAAGCTCCTCAAGGTAATTAATTAAATTATTATTTCTTTAATATTTAAGTTTAATAAATATAATTTTTTTATAGAGCCATTTAATTTCGGGAATGGAAATATTGTGGACAATACAACTGTACATAGAGATTGGCAACAATTTTAACGACGATTAGATTTTGTAATCCAATTCACCGGAAATTGGAATGACGGAACTACTCAGATTCACTTTCTCAAAGGTTCTGAGGAGGATTTTTGAAACATGAACTGGAAAATTGAATTTGATAGAAGGGATTTTTCTAATGAAGAAATGGTAGAAAAAATCAAAGCTAATAAGTTTAAAGATGGAGAAATTATTTTTAAAGACGATAACATTTATTGGAAAAGAAATTTTCCAGAATACAAAAAAAAATATCTTCAAAACTACCCAAAGTGTAAACCTCTATATCAATATAAACGAAAACTTGAAAATCCCAATGAAAATATTAATATAGATGATTTGGATTACAATTTCCAAATGAGTAGATGTGATTCGGACGATTCCCAACATACAAAAGAAGTAAAATTGAGAAACAAAACTAATGGTAAACGAAAAGCAGAGCTTTAATTAGAAAAATCTGTTATTAAAAAAATTCAATTGTAATTTTCAAATTTTAATAAAATAAATATCACGATTTTCTTATTGTTTTGCAAATCTTTTTTTACCATATTTCTATTGGTCACTGATCGTCATGTGATCACCAATTGTTTATTTATTCGATTGTTTTGATTTTTGTTTTCTTTAGGTGTTTGTTTATCTTACACCATAGGGCATATTGCATACAAAATAATTCTGGATTCTATAGTAGAAAAATAAGACCACATATAGCTGAAGACGGCCTTGGGAATTAATTCCCTAGTAAAGAGCAAACAAAATTTTTTTTGTTATTCTCGGTCAAGTGCATAAAGATCAATAGGTGTCTACCCCTTAACATATTGGCTTATTCTTCTTAGAGCACTTTTAGAGGCTATTGTCTTTATTTTTACATAGGTGAGGATTGTTTTGGTATGGGTTGGTGCTCACGAATATGTCCCTCACCAGAATCTCATGATATGTAGCGTCCAAGCCGCGAGATTCGGAAACTTACATCTTTTGTAAGGCTAATACATATCAATTAAATATTTATTATTTTGAACGAAACTTCATCAAAAATCAAACTATTTTCGCGAGTATCGATCCGATTAACTTTAAATTTAAGACATATATTCCTCAAAGTCATCTGTACAAATTTTACTATTATAGTACAGTATGTTTAATTTATTCATTGTGGTTAAATTTAATAAAAACGTTTTATGTAAAAAGTCAAGAAAAAAGCCGTCAGACTAAAAATCGTGTTTTACAAGAAATTTTATTATGTAAATCGATTGTGTGTCAATAATAAAAAATGTTTGTCTACCAAAAAAACTTATAGTTTCATAGAATTACTTTGTACATTTCTCTAATAAAATTTTTAAGATTGAGCTAAATACGATCTGTAAAGAAAGAAACGAAATGAAAAAGAAATTGCTATATCTCAACGAATATCAATCCAAACGTTCTGAAAATTTACGCGGTATATGTGTTGTCTAACTCCCTGTGACAAATAAATCAAATCGTCCAAATTCCACCACTTACTTAGACGGCGGTTTTTGGATTCCACCAGAGTGATCGATATTTCGTTACTATTTTTGGAACAATTTTTATGTTTAGATAAATAAGGTTATTTTAAGCATTTTTAAAACTAAAAACGAGTATAAAACTTGGTGCCCGATCCAATTTTCACTAATAAGAATTTTATCTTTTTACATAAAATAAAGGATGTGTTAAATAGTCTTTCACACCGACAAAAAACCACCATCATAGAAGAGAATTTGGTATTCTTCCTTTTTTAGGAAATTTTTATGTCGATCACTCTGGTAGCTGCGTAGTCAGGGGTAACACCCGACCCCTGACTACGCTTATAGTTTTAATGTAAAAACTAAACATATTTTTATCCCTTAAACCGTATTCCAGGCAAATTTGCCTGGAAAATTTAATTATATTTAGTATTTTTTAAATAAAATAATAATTTATTAAT